CGGCCCAATGGAACATTAGTCAGCAGTAAAAAATGAACCAAGTGCAGGGCTGGGAAGGTGGCTCAGTGGTAGAGTGCTTGCCTTGCATGCATGAGGCCCTGGGTTCGATTCCTCAGTACCACATAAGCAGAAAAAGCTAGAAGTGGCGCTGTGGCTCACGTGGTAGTGCACTAGCCTTGAGCTGAAGAGCTGAAGAGCTGAGGGACAGTGCCCAGGCCCAGAGTTCAGGCCCCACTACCGACAAAAAAAAAAAGAAAGAAATGAACCAAGTGCTGTTATAGGCTACAACATTAATAAATTCTGAAAAAAAAAAGCGTTATGCTAAATGTAAGAAAAAGACACAGAAGGCTGCATATTGCATAATTGTACTTAGAAGCAATGACCAACATAGATGAATGTATAGAAAGTAGACTAGGGGGCTGGGAAGTTGGCTCAGTGGTAGAGTGCTTGCCTTGCATGCATGAGGACCTGGGTTCAATTCCTCAGCACCACATAAGCAGGAAAAAAAAAGCCAGAAGTAGCGCTGTGGCTCAAGTGGTAGAGCACTAGCCTTGAGCTGAAGAGCTGAGGGACAGCGCCAAGGCCCAGAGTTCAGGCCCCACGACCAGACCAAAACAAAAGAAAGTAGACTAGGGTCAGGGGTAGGGGACAGAAACAGATGATGGCTACCAGGGCTGAGCTTTCTCTTGGGTATGATAAAGATACTCTAAAGTGACAGTGATAACTGCATGTGCCTAAATAAACTAAACCCACTGGATTATGTGGATCCCTTTAAACAGGTGACATTGGAATTTAAAACTGTAACAAGTCAGGAATGGCAGCTCACACCTGTGATCGATCCCAGCTACTTGGGAGGTAGAGATTGGACCACCTAATCAAAGGTCAGCTGGGCAAAAATGCTTGTGAGAGCCCACTCAACAGAAAGGGCTAGGTGTGGTGGCACTCATCCTGACTACCTTCGCCAGACCTGGGACTTGCCACCTCCCTTCCCCATCTTTTGGCCTCAGCATTGGCTTCTCTAGCCCTGGTCTCCTCTGCACCGGTTGCCTTCCTTTCCCTGAAGTTGTGACAAGCATTAAGCACTTGATGCCCACGGTGTTCAGGAAACAGGAGTGAAAGGGTGGGCAGAGTGGTTAGCCTCTGGCTCCTCAGAGTTAGAGAAATCCTCCATCCTACTCTTAAGAGCTTGCTTCTGAGAAGGCTGGCCCTGGAACACTCTGGAGGAATCTGGAAGCTGTTCCATGCAGCATAAGCAAAAAATCCTCAGTCCTACCCCCCCCACCCACCCCAAGGGGTGCTGGGACAAAACTCAGGCCAAGAAGCTAATGGGACTCCTGGAGTCTCGAACTGTGGTGTCAGCCAGGGCACTGAGCTGGCAAGGCTCAACCAGGGAGAGGCAGAAGCAGCCGCTCCATTCACCCTTCCAGACCATCTCCGTCAGGACCCCAGGCCAAGGGCTATACGGAGCCCTGGAAGCTCCTTCCCAGTTCCTTCACTGTTGCCCTCCAGTTCATATGCTGGAGTCCTGACCGAGAATACCACTGTACTAAAGAGGGCGCTACAGTAGGCCTTGCTCCAATATGGCGGCTATCCTTACAAGAAGAGAAGATCAAGACTTCGTCACCCAGAGGGTCGACATGTGGAAACACAGGGCAAAGGCAGCAGGAGGCAGAAACTTTACTGCCACCACCAACCCTCCATCCTGGAATGGCTGCCTGGCAGACTAGGCCAAAGTGTGGGCTCTCCTTGAGGGAGGGGCCTCCTCTCCCCCAGCCTCCTCCTGACCTGTGCCTGCTGCTCACTTTATCTCATTCCTCAACTTGCTCCATGTGTCCTCCTCCCCAGCACCCAGCACTCAGCACCCGGAACCCAGTACCATGACAACATCCACCAGCTACAAAGCACAGCTTCCTCTCCTCGGTGCTCTGTTCTAGTTCCTGGACTTGTCCTGAGATGACCCAGATGGGCCTGGACAGTCCTGTGCACTACTGAAACTCCCAGACTCAAGAGCCCCATGGCTGGACAGTGGCCTAAAGGAACCACCTATATCTGCTAATTCTGTGTGCACATGGGTGCAATGGAGTCAGTGGCCTGGCAAAGCTAATGCTAAGGTGGGTGCTTTATGTGGGGGTCCCCTGGCCCTGAGCAAAGCCCTCACAATGGCAGGAGGGTACTGGATGGGCCTGGTAACTGGCCTAGGCCAGGGTGGGTGGTCAGACTGCTGAGAATCAAGAGACCCAGCATGGGTTTTCACCATGGATTCTGGGCAGGGATGTGCTCAGGGAGGGGGAGGGGCTCAGGTTCACCAGTGTTCCTGGGGGCAGGGGAAGAGCAGGAGCATACACAGTCCATGAGACCTGAGCGGAGTCACAAAGGGGGCTTCGGAGGCCAGTGCTGCCAGGATGGTGGCACTTTAGAGGACGCAGGCCAGAGGTAACACCCTCACCCCACCACCAGCTCAGGGCCCCTCCTCCTGCCCCTTCCCACAGCACACCCAAAGAGCTATGAGCTGCTGCTCCCCACCTTGGGCGCCCCCTCATCCCCCACCCACCCTGGACACTATGAGCCAAGTAGTGGGATTCACAGAGGGACAGACACTGGCTCACACCTATAATCCTAGCTACTTAGAAAGTGAGATCTGAGGATCACTGCCAGCCTGGACAGGAAAGTCTGTAAGACTCTCATCTGCAGTTAACCACCAAACAGCCAGTCAAGTGGTAGAGTTCCTAGCCTTGAGCACAAAAGCTCAGGGATAGCATCCAGGCCATGAGTTCAAGCCCCAGGACACACACACACACACACACACACACACACACACACTTGCTGGCTGAATCCTGGCCCAGCAAACTGAGGCCCCAATGGGCAGCACTTTGCCCTGATGCCACACTCCTGACCTCTGCACCTGGCCGTGAGGATCTGTGTAGACACGCAAGCAAAGACCAGAGAGGCTCAGTCCTTTCAACAAGACAGGTGTGTCCAAGGGTCAACCTGGGGTCTGAACTCAGGTCTGGTTTTGTAGTACTCATCCTGCCCCCATCTAGAATCTCTGCAGAGACCAGGCAAAGCTGCCCAGAGCACTTCATCATCCCCCATGCTGGTCCCCCCCCCCACACACAGCACAGGGACCTCTCTGCACAGCCATACTCCCTGCCACGCCCCAAGGGGTGCCATCTCCAGTACCCTGGAATCCGAAAAGTCAGGTGCCTTCTCCCTGCTCACACATGAGAGGCAGACGCACTGCCCAACTAGGGAGCCACACGGGCCTCCCGCTTCCCTCTCCCCCTAAGCCCGCTCCAGGGGCACAACTGAGGTACTGTCCCTGCTCCCACACAGAGTTGAGTCTAGCTCCTCCCTTCCTTGCTGGGACACACCCACCAGCAGGGCACAGGGAGCCACAGTAGAGGCAGAGGGCAGGCTGTCCACTGGCGGCTGTCCCAGCTCAGCAGGCTAGGCCAGGGAAGAGAAGGGGCTGGCAGAGCATGAGCATCTCACCCCCAGGCAGAGAGCCAGCCTCTCGGCCTCCAGACAGGAGCCCCTCTGTCCTGAGCAATGAGCTGACCTTTAACTGGCCAAAGGTCACACTGGCTCCATTTCCCCTGCTGGAGAGGAAGAGCCAGGGGCAGGAGAGCCAGGCCAGGGTCCCTCCATGCCAGCCTCTCCTCTCCTCTCCTCCCCCCACCCTGCCTCCTCTTGCGCTGTCTGTCCTCCTTCCTTCCCTGGAGCCCCGTCCTTCCTCCTGGCCCTTCATTATTTTACTTTTGATTTGCCTGGCACTTTGTAGTTCACTCAGGGTTTTTACATTTATCATCACATTGAATCTGCACCAGGGAAGAGATGGGGAGGCATTAAAAATTCCTTCAAATTGCCAAGTGTTCTTGTTAAAAATGCAAACAACCCAGAACTAAGAATGAGGCTGCAGGCATGGGCTTCAGAGCAAATTTGTTTCAGCGTCTGCTTCCTCCTGGGTCCCCACTCCCACCCCAGGAGATGGATGGGATGCAAGGAAGAGGAGAGCTTGGGGGAGCAGGGTCTCCAACTGAAAAGAGAAGAAGGCAGTCCCAGAGGGGGGGCAGGAAGCTATGGGGACAGATAGGAGGACACAGCAGCCAATCCTGCAAAGTTGCCCAGAAAGAACGCAGCCTCACTGGGCCTTAAGTTCTCGTCCAACCATCCCCTCTCTTCCCACCTCTCTGAAATTTACTACTCATTCTGCTGCCTCTGCCAGAACGTTTTCAAAATGGAGCCATGAAGTCCAAACCTTGCGTGAGGAAGACTGGCCAGAGCTCCTCAGCCCTGATCCTCCCCCTTCCCCAGTGCTGCCACATGGCCCAGAGATCCAGCTCCGGAGCAAAAGCCCTGGGCAAAAGCAGGAGAGCTTATCTCCAAAAATAATAATAACTAAAGCAAAAATAAGAGCTTGGGATGCGACTCAAGTGATAGAACACTGGTTAGGCAAGTGCTAGGCCCTGAGTTCATATCACAATACCAAAAAATAAAAATAAATAAAAGACTCCAGGGATCTAGGCAAGCTCATTGTTGGTAGGCTTACTTTCTAGAGCTCCACTCCCATCCCATTACACAAATGAGCAGCCAAACAGAAATACAGAGAGCTCCCTGACTGTCTGACTTACAGCTGACCATCCACGATAATGTTAGGCTTTAGAGCTCAATTAAACATGCATGGATTGCAATTCCGCAGCCTTGATGGCTTTGATTCCAGCTCCCGAACACTTTCCTTGGCTGTTGATTAAAGTTCAGAGGGCCCAGACGCTGCACATAAGTCCCCAGTGCTGGACCTCAGAGAATGCAGGAGTGAGCCTGAAGAAACCCAATGATGGGTTTGAAAGAAATGTAGTAAAGGTGTGTGGGTATGGGGGGGCAGTATTAGGAGTTCTGCTTAAGGTTTGCTTAAGCCCCCCTCCTCCAGGAAGCCTCCTCTCCAAGAGAACCAGGGCCGTACAGTTCCAAGAGGGGCTGGGAAGCCCCTGGTCCCCACCTACCCTCCATGCCATCCTCACGGTGCCCACTGAAGTTGTCGTAGGAATCCCAGCGGATGAGGGGGTCGGAGGTATTGTAGTCCACAGACACGCTTGGCCCGTTCTCCAGGTGCTCCATGCCTGAGGGGGATGGGAAATGGGAGGGGGAGGGCCAGGAAGGGGAGATGGTGGGGAGAGGGGAGAAGGGAGAAGGGATCAACAGCAGGAAACACAGAAAGTCAACAAGTACCCCCAGGGATGTTCCAGAGGGACTTCCCTGTTCCTGAGCTTGGTGGGGATGGGGAGCTGGGGGCTGGGCCTGGGTGGAGAACCCAGGGGCCTGGCTGCCTGCATCCCTGAACTCACACTGGGTCAGGGGGTAAATCAGGACAGGACACTGATGAGTGAAGACCTTCTAAAGACAACAGGGCACCCCCTTCTTGCCCCCTTCCCCTCCCCCCTCCACTGGTTCTCTTCTTTTCTGGGACCTCTAAAGCCAAGGAGCGACACATGTGCCCTGGAGCCCAGAGAAAGGAATATGGGACAGGCTTGTCATGAGCTGCCAGCAGAGAAATCACAGCCTGGACAGTGAGAGGCCACAGAGCCCCTCAAAGGCCATCGCCAGCTTGCTTAAAATGCTTTCCATTCCAGACAGATATCTCTAGAGAGAGGCGGAGTCTCTTCCTCATCCTCAGATGGTTGACTAATCAGTGAGCCACTTTTCTGGCTTGGCAGTCCTTTCTTTTGGTCTATCCAGAGTGTCTCTGCCTATCACCTGTCTTCATCTCCTCTCATGATATTTTCAAATAAGCTTAAAGCTATTATTAAATTGGCCTTTGAGGTTGAATCACCTCCGTTCTCATAAATAACCCTCCTTCTCCAGCACCTCCGAGCGGCTCTCCTGGCTATTTCCTTCCACTCACCAAAGCCCTCGGGCTCTGACTATAACCAGGTGGTGACTTAATGGGACCAGAACAGTTTGTCCAAGCCAGCGCCTCTCTTGTCAGCTTTTTGTATCTTTTTATAATCCGGAGATTAAGCGACTGGTTCCTGCTTAGCTGGGGGCCCACTGTGATCCTGAGCTCCTGGTCGGCTGGCCCACCTCTCAAGCACAGGTAACCTGGTATGTATAGAGCTGGCTAGTGGCAGGATGGTAAGGAGCAAGAGGGACAGGTGAGGATGGAGGGAAGGGACACAAGAATGAATTAGAACTTCTGCGAATACCTTGAATTTTCTCTGGCCCATAAGAAAACACAAACTCCACTTTGCCATATTCTGGAAATCGATCATCTATAAAAAGACAAGGAAATACAAAAACAAGCAATGAATTCCCAAAAAAGGACTCCAGAAAGGATTCTAAAAAATGAAGTCATATCCAGGCACCGGTGGCTCGCATCTGCAATCCCAGCTACTCAGGAGGCTGAGACCTCAGCTTTGTGGTTCAAAGCCAGCCCAGGCAGCAAAGTCTGAGCCTGTTATCTCCAATGAAGCACTAGAAAACCAGAAGTAAAGTTGTGGCCCAAGTAGTAGAGAGCTAACTTTGAGCAAAAGAGCTGAGGGACAACACCCAGGCCCTGAGTTCAAGCCCCACAACCCAGACAAAACAAAACAGAAAAATGAAGTCATATGTATATGGCTAATGATATGATAATAATTAACATGTTTATATCTCTTTGTGTATATACATGCATAATGAAATCATAGCTCCTGCCTACCCTAACCCCTGTGCTATTTGCCTGAAGTAACTTGCCTACTAGTCAAGTGCTGCTATTTGGGCGACACCCCCAGCCCTTTCCACTTTAGTTTGTTTCTTAGGTAAGGGCTCCTCTTGTACTTTTTCCCAGGCCAACCTCAGATGGGATCCTCTGACCTCCACCTCCTGAGTATCAGGGATCTCAGGCTGGTGTGGCCCAGTGGAGGCTGAAAAAATAACTGTCCACAGGCCACACTGGAGAGAACAGGAAGACAGAAGGAAGAAGAGAGATGTGGGACAAAGAGGAGGCAGAGGTACACCGTCTGAAGTAAACCTAGTCCCAGAGGAAGTGACTGCAGCCTGAAGCCCCAGGCAACCCCAATTTTAACTCTGTTCTAATTTCCAGTCACTTCCCTCCCACATCACTAGGAACACCCAACACCTAGTGGACGGTGGAGCTTACCACCGCAGGAACCCACCGCATCTCCTCACCCTGGGCTCTGCTCAGAGCCACAGCAGCCCCGCTCAGGAAGCCCACCTTTGAAGGCATCATCAAGGTCCTCCTTCCCAAACACAACTCCCAAGTCATGAATGGCACAGGTGTGGAACTGCACACGGAAGATGACGTCCCGGGCTGGGCTGCGGAACTTCTTGTGGTAGCACTTCAGCTGGGGGAGGCAAGGGGGCAAGGGTTGGGGAGTCAGGCCCCCGGAGAGCTTCCTGATTGGCTTCACTGAGCCCCAAGCTTCACCCAAACCCATGATCAAGAGGTCACCGACATAAGAGCTCAGAGCTCTGAGGAAACTTCTGGAACAGCCAAGGGACTGGTCCTGAACTGTCCTAGGAAGGTCCTATACACTCGGGGGAATAGCAAAAGAGTGGGCTTGCCTGCAGCAGGCAAGATTAAAGTTAGAATCAAAGCATCACTGACACCAGTAGGGACCCAGGAGGTAAATACTAAGTGGTAAATCTCTAGAAATCCAAGTATTTGTCATGCAGTGCTGGCGGCTCACACCTGTAATCCTAGCTACTCAGGAGGCTGAGATCTGAGGATTGTGGCTCAAAGCCAGCCCAGGCAGGAAAGTCTGTGGACTCTTATTTCCAATAAACTACCTCCAAAAAAGCTCAGAAGTGGCGCTGTGGCTCAAGTGGTAGAGCACTAGCCTTGAACCAACGAAGCTCGGGGACAATACCCAAGCCCTGAGTTTAAGCCCCAGAACCTGCATCCCCAAAAAGGGGGGTGGGGAAGGGCTTTGGGTTAGTTACATTATCGTTTTCACTTTGGGTTTTTAGGATTCTGCTATATTCCTCTTTTGATTTAGTGAAGTATTGAGAAGTACAGTTGGCTTACTCACGTTAAATAAGTGTCACAATAATCTGTTTTATGAACGAATCAGCACAGTTCCCCAAATCTGACAACGTCAAGTGATGCTCATTTGCTAATAACTTGATTCAATGAATGTAATTAAACTGATAACATTTCAACGGTCTTTACAAGGTATAATTAAATGAGGTATTAGAGAATAATGTGACTGCTTTTTTTTTTTTTAAAGAAAAAGAAAAGAAATCTGAGTAGTTCCCAGGGAAAGGACACCAAGGCCAGGACAGGAGAGAGGACCAAGGCTATTAGAATCTGGGCAGCGCTGCAGGACCTAGGAGCCCAGAATTCTAAGCTCCACAGCCTACCTGAAAAGACCACCATGTCCCCAGGGGGAGGAAGTGACATAGGAAGAGAGAGAAGAGATACGCTGAAAGGGAAGTCGGCCCTCACCAAGATGTCTCCCTTCAGGAGCAGGCCTGGCTCGATAGTGATGCAGATGCTGGTCTGGCTGTCCCCTGGGATGTTGCTGGGGGGCAGAGGTGGGTGGAGAAAGAGGGTTACAGCGGGGAGGGACTGCATGCTTTCCCCACCGTCCCTCTACACAGAGCTGCTAGGAACCCACACTCTCTTCCTCCCTCCACTCCTCTTGGGAAGAACAGGTGTGGGCAGCCTTCGGTCTCCCACTCTTGGATCCTCAATCTGGGCCTTGGACATTCAGCTTCCATGGGCCACTTACTAGATGCCAGAGGTGTAAACAGGTTGCATGGCTTGGTAGATGCGGAGAAACGGCCGACACCCTGTCAGAGAGGGGTGGATGTTAGCTAAGAAGCACACATAATGGGAAGGAGGGGAGAGGACAGGGTGAAGGAAGAGAGAGAATGGAAGGGAGAGAGGAATTGGGGAAGAGAAAAGGAGGAAGTAGAAAGGGGGGAACATACTAACTTTCTATTTGTAAGTCATTTTAACTTGATAAAACTTTGCTACATCTAACACTATCTACCTAGACTCTGTATGGAGGCCATTTGCAGATGAATGGACTAACATCCTACCTACCTGGGAGGCCAAGGTCCGGAGGAATCACAGTTCCAGGGCACTCTATGCAAAATAAAGTTTGTGTGACTCCATCACAACCAATGGGCAGGCATGGCGGTACACGCCTGCCATCCCCAGTGACATGAGGAAACACAAGTAGGAAGACAGCAGTCCCCAGACTGGCCTGAGCATAAACTGAGACTCCACGATGAAAGTAAAAAAGGGACTAAGATGTGCTCACATGGTCGAGCACAAGCCTAACAAGCATGAGGCCCTGAGTTCAAATCTCAGTGCCATCAAAAATTTTAAATTAAAAAAAAAAAAAGTAGTCAAGAAGTGATGCGTTGGAAAGGCCAACACCAAGCCTTTGGCCTCCCCAGCTTAAGACATCCTGACCACCCCCTCCTGCCTCCTAAGCCAAGGAGAAGGACAGCAAGCTAGGCAGAAGGGAGGGGAGGGCTAGAGCACTTACCTCCTTTAGACTCAAAGTTAGGGATGCCGTGCATGATCACATGGTGCAGAAACAGGGGCTTGTTGTTCATTTTGATGGAGCCGGAGAGCAGGCCGCTGAAGTAATGCACATACCTGCCACAGGGAAAAGGCGGCTTCAGGGAGGGGCCTGGATTGGTACAGTTTTCCTGTTCTCATTTCTGCAGGAATATTCCCCAGAGCAGGACTCCCTCCCAGCCTGCTGCGAGGTCCAGGAAGAAAATCAAAACAGAACAGGGAATACAAACCTGCATCTAGACCAAGGTACCCACTTGGAGTTCTACAGCACCCCCTGGTGGTCTCTTCCTGACTCACTCCCAGCCCAGGGAACCCTCCATCGGCCAAAATTCCTTCTGAACAAGGCAAGTTTATCAACTAGCAAGCATCTCGGATAGCTTCACACTGAGCCAACCAAGCCTATGCTTATTCTTGTCCCAAGTTTGTACTTCTGTTTTGGTTCTGCCCTCACACCCTCCAGACACAGGGTCATCCAGAAAATAATTAGTGCTTCATTAATAATTACAGTGCTTTGTGCCATGCTAACAATTACAGAAGATCAGTCTCTTCATTTGGGATTTGGGATAACTAACTTCCAATAAGTCTCTAATCGCCAGGGGTAACAGCCCATATTCTTTTTCACAAAGATGTTACTGTTAAAAGGCCTGACATACTTCCCTTCCTTACAGATAAAAAGGAAAAATTAGATGTCCCAGGAAGGGACACTGGACTCCCAAAGACACACAAGGCTTGGGGTAGGAGGGAAAGAAAGAAGTCTGAGGTCCAGTGCATCCACCTCAATGATTGATTGGCACTTCCTCTCTTTCTGATTGGCCAAGGAACACCAGGCTGAGTCAGACAGACCAATCAAATTCAACCTGAGGTTCCTGGGAAGCTAACAGTCCTATAAGGAGGGTGGAACAGGAAATGCATGACCATGATAGTACTCCCCCCCTCTCCCCCTTGGCTCCTTGGCATACCTCCAGCCCCACAGGCCTCCGTCCCTGAGCCTGGGTGGAGCCACTTCAAACTACCAAGATAATCTGATGGGCAGCCCAGCTCCTATTCAGGACCCTGCCCAGCCCCCAGTCCCATTACTTAAATCGGAAACCTGGAATGGCAAGTTCCCATCAGATCTCCTATTGGCGCCAACAGGATATGTCTGTGTGCTGGGGACAATGAGTCATAGAGCGGGTGACAATGAATGGGGGAGCTGCAAGCAAAGCTGTCCCTCCACACCTCCCCCCCCATTCTCCTTTCCTCCAGCTGCCCCCATTCACTGTTAGCAACACTGACAGGAGGGAGGGAAAGTGACCACAAACATAGGAAACCCTCCGGCTGCACTTTCACACGTGGGTAGATAGGGCGGTCCACCCTCAGCAGGCACAGCACCCGATAGCCACTGCAGGAAGATGGTATGTGTGTGTGTGCGTGCACACACACACACTCACGCGCACACACACACACACTCCAGCTGAAATGAAAGCACAAGCAGAACACCAAAGGAACCACTCTCACACCAGACGATCCTGCTCTCCACCCTCAGCATGTGTCTCCATCCACATCCTCAACCTTTCAAGGTCAAGGGTCACACCATGCAGCAGCCATGCAGCCAGGAGCCCAGGAGCCGGTACTTGGCCAGTAGTGCCTCCCTGGGAACATTCTCACTAATCCTCAGCTGCTGTATCTGGGGCCTCAGCGGAATTTTCTGCACTGGTGGCTTATGGTTATAATCCTCACTACTCAGGAGGCTGAGATCTGAGGATCATGAAATAAAGCCAGCCGGGGCAGGCAGGCATGTAAGACTCTTATCTCCACTTAACCAGAAAAATGCCTGAATTGGAGCTGTGGCTCCAGTGGTAGAGCAACTGCCTTGAGTGAAAAAGCTAAGGGGCAGTGCCCAGGCCCTGAATTCAAGACCCACTATCAGCATACCACATGCATGCACACACACATACTTATCATTATCTGGAAGGATCTTTTACTTGTGAACTTGGTACCTCCCACAAGAAGCTCAGCCTGAGCCCTCTGAGCTTGACAGATTCTGCAGAACTGAGCCGACACACCACAGGCAGGCAGGCTTGAGTCTTACACTCCAGATCATCAGTTCGGTCTGGGTTCCCTAACATTCTACTGGTGGCTACACTGTCCCCCGTGACCACCTGACCTTGGCATTGCCTGCTGCGGGCCAGACATCACAGAACCACCCTGCTGCCCACAGAGCCATAGCCTTCTTGTCAGTGATAAGTATACCGCAAATTGGAGACCAGCCCTGGCCAGCTGGTACTCATCCTAATGTACCTGCTGGCTCTGCCACCAATTGTCCTAGCTTCCCCCTAGGTTCCTCATAAAATGAGGATGTCCCAGATCCTGAAGATTATCCTCACTAAGTCTCAAAATACCTCTGACAGCCCCACTAAAATAGCCCCACTCCTTGCCAGCAGGTCTCGTGTGTGAAGCAAGCCATTCGTCTCAGCAGGCTACCTGGCCCTGGCTAATACTAGCCAGGTGACCCCGGGGTGGGTCTCTGTGACTCCCAGCATGGACAGCAGGGGCATCAGCGTGCTGCAGGCTCATCCCCACATGGAAACCATCCTGTCCTTGACAACAGCACGTGCGGCCAGGCTCTGGTGGCTCATGCCTGTTACCCTAGCTACTCAGGAGGCTGAGATCTGAAACTCATGGGTCAAAGCCACACCCAGGCAAGAGACTCCTATCTCCAATTAGCCACCAAAAGCCAGAAGTACAACAGTGACTCAAGTGGTAGAGTACCAGCCTTGAGACAAAAAAAAAATCTAAGGGACAGCACCAGCACCCAAGCCTTGTGTTCAAGCCCTAATATAAGCACACACCAAAAAAAGACAGTATGTGCCTTCGTTCACTGCACCTGCCGCCAGACCCATGCTTTGCCCACGATGCTTTCAGGCAGAAGCCTCTGAAGCCGGCCTGAGGACACACACATGGGCTACAATGAAGGCTTTGTCCTGAGTCCTCACCGCTCTAGGCTGGTCCACCCCAACTAAGCAGCTGTTTCTTCTTCTGTAAGTACACAGCCCTCCCCCCACCACCCCTATACATCACGTATGCCCTGGGCTGTGAGTTCTGGAGGCCCACCTTCTCTGTGATGGCTGGCCGATGGGCACAATCTTATCTTCGTAGAACCGCTTCATGGCAAATCGATCGAGAGCCTGGTCCGCACTGTGGGGAGAGAGGGACAGTCAGAGGAGCCAATGCCCACAGCCAAGAGCTCCTCGTCCCCTTAACGCTGTTCCCCTAGACCTGAAGAGCCTCACGGCTGGTGCCTGGTGCCTGTTAAGGGGGCGGCAGACCTCCGGCCATGCTGTGTACTAAGCACCTTCAGCTCAGCTTGGGCCACCAATTCAAATCTCCACTTACTAACTGTGACTCTTGGTTCTTCTGAATTATCACCTGTCAGGTGACGGTGATCATCACACCTTCCTCTGAGGTTTGGTGGAGACTGAAGTGAACACCTTAGAAAGAAGGACCCTATGGGTCCTCACAGGGTGCTGAAGAGACCACATTCAAATAAAAGGACAGCTCACATGGTAGCTCCTCCACCCTCACTGCCTGTCTTCCCTCCCTGCTCACCCAGCCAAGGAGAAGGCAGCTGGGACAAGTGGCCCCCAGAAGCTGCTGGGGCAGCATCCCCCCACAGCTTCCATGGCCAGGTTGGAATAGACTCTACTTCCTGTGCCGTCTGTGCCCAGGCTCTGTCTGCCTCAGAACTGTGGACAGGTGCCTTCTCCAATTCTGGGGCCTCCTGTGCCCCTTAAGGCCTTATACCCCCTCCTACCCCAAGCAAGGCAGAGACCATGATGGCCGGAAGGGTTACACTGTGCAGAAGGCTGGTCAGGGCACTGACCTGGCAGAGATGTTGCTGTAATGCATGTAAGCCGCAATGACCACACCGATCCTGCCTCGGTTTCCCTGAAAGAGGAAGAGAAGCTTGTAATTCCGTTCTCAGGCAGTCCCTGCTGCCCCAGAACTATTCCAGACTCCAGGAGGAAGAGGAGGAGGAGGCAGGGCAGGGCTCTTACCTTGTTGTGTAGGACAACAACGTTATGGGGGTCAGCGTTGAGCCACGTGTCCATGGCCTTGCAGACGCTGCAGATCTTCTCCAGCGCCGGAGTGTGTAGGTCAGGCCAGCCGAATTCCAGGACCTATGTCCCCAGCCAAGAGTGAGGAGAGGACGGGCCAGCAGGCCAGCCGGGGCAGCACCACCAGCAGCTGGGCCTCATCCTGCTTGTCACCCCTTCTGGGAAGCAGGCAAAGGCCACCAGCCTGGCCTGGAGACCCCAGGCTTCAAGCTGAAGCACCACAGACTCCCTGGGGGCCTCATGAAGTCCCCACCCCTCTCCTAACCTTGACTTTCAGGCCTGACCTGCTGAGGGCCCCAGCCCAGCCCTCCAGCCCCTCCCTTACAGCTTGAGAGCAAGGGAAGAAGAGAAAAGAGCTTCCTAGTGCTCATAGCTCTTCATTTGGGGGGCCAGCCAGGAGAAGTCTAAGAGCACACAAGGTGACTCTTGACATCAACTGTGGATTCCTCCAGCCCTTTCTAAACTCACAGCATGTTGAATAAAAGAGCCTCTGTCTGGGACTACACAGGACGCCTTTGCCACCTGTCCACTTTGTATTATACTGAGAGACCAGAATCCAGGACAGACTGTGAATGGAAGATGTGAGGGACAGAGGCAAAGACTACAGCAATACCCCACAGAACCCACTGAACAAACAGTGTAAGCACAGACCGCAGCAACCACTTGAATCTAAGAACTGAAAATTCTGGTATAAGGTGGTATTTGAACTTGGAACGGGCTTTTCTAGCTTTTCCCTGTGATTTCAGAGGGTAAACCCCCCATTCTCCTGCTGTCCCCAACAAAATAAAGTCACCCCAAAACAGCCATAGGCTCACCTTGGTGTGAAGCTTCGTGATGTCAGGTCTCCGTTCAGAGAGGTTAAACAGCTAAAAGGACAGAAGGGACAGAGGAGGTGAGGATCAGGAGGCTGGGGGAGGGGAGGAGCAGCAAGGGCACCCCTGGTCACCCGATATGGGGGTGTCATTTCCAGCTCCTCTAACCCCAGTAATGGCCAGGCAGAGCTGCAAGGAGCCCTAGCAGACAGGGTCCTGGGCCATATGCCAGACAGAAGTACTTGGCTCTCCTGCGCTACCTGTCACTCCCTTCCTGATTGAAATTCTGTTCATAGCTGAATACAGGTTGCCCAACAAGGTCAAGATAGGAAACAAGAAGTTTTGTTTTTTGGTTTTGTTTTTTTACTTTTTATGGTACCTTTATTTTTCTGTTTTTCCCTTTGTCTCAGTTTTTTTTATTTCTGTACCTTTTTTAATTTTTTTGGATCCGGTCATGGGGCCTGAACTCTGGGCCTGGGCACTGTCCCTCAGCTCTTCAGCTCAAGGCTAGCGCTCTACCACTTGAGCCACAGCGCCACTTCTGGCTTTTTTTTGTTTTTTGCTTATGTGGTGCTGAGGAATCGAACCCAGGGCCTCAGGCATGCAAGGCAAGTGCTCTACCACTGAGCCACCTTCCCAGCCTTGTTTCTGTAACTTTTGCCTCGTATGTAGTATGTCTGAGTTGGGGAGGGGGAAGAGAAGCACAGCAATGGTGGGACAAATGGTTTCAGCAGCGAAACCCACTAGACACCATGTTGGGGAAAAACTGGGAGAAAAAAAAAGTTACCTGACTTATATAACCCCTCTGTACATCACCTTTACAGCAAAAATTTAAAAAAAAAAGAAACCAGAGGGGTGAGGCCACGCCCCTCATGAATGACCACACCCCTCATGGGAGGCCACGCCCCTCATGAATGACCACACCCCTCATGGAAGGCCACACCCCTCAGGACTGACCACAGCCCTCATGAGAGGCCACGCCCCTCATGAATGACTACAGCCCTCATGAGAGGCCATGCCCCTCATGAGAGGCCACACCCCTCAGGACTGACCACACCCCTCATGGGAGGCCACGCCCCTCAGGACTGACCACACCCCTCATGGGAGGGCACGCCCCTCAGGACTGACCACACCCCTCATGAGAGGCCACACCCCTCCTGCCCTACTGGTCACGGCCCCCATGAATGACCACACCACTCATGAGCAGAGATCCTGATGAATATGAGCAGGAACAGAACCCCGCTGGTGGTATAAATAGCCAGCATGTGCCCATCTCCCTTTTCCACTTTCCTCTCTGACTTTAGAGCCATCACATAATAATGCAACTTCCCTTTCCCAGACACCCTCCTTCAGAGGGTGCACAGCACCCTGGGGGGCCCTCACAGACCTGGACCTACCTCTCCCAGCACGTGCCCCCCACGCCTAGCCACACCCCGTGCGAAGCCCCTGCTCCCAGTGTTCTTCCCTCCCCTCCATGAGGGTGAGCACAACTGCTCATCTCCACCCACTGTCCGGAAATGCCAAGGCCACCATGTCACCGTCAACACCTGGGAGAAGAGAGGACAGCCTGGCCTGGGATGGACAGAGCTGTGACAACACAGCAACCCACTGAATCCTGTGTTCCTGGAATCAGGCAAGCATTTAGGGTGCTTCTCAGCGACTCCTGAATCCTACATTACATTAAGAATGTCTACCAATCAGTGAGTGCCCACCACCTGCTAGCCTGTGCCAAGGACTTTACATCTGATTGGCTTCCTCCTCTCAGAAGCCGGCTGAGGTGAGGAGTATTAACAGAGCTGCTCTGTGGATCCGTGAAGCAAAAGGGCCAAGATCACATGGTTAACAAGCAGAGTCAGGATTTGAACCCAGGACTTTCTGACATTTCCAGCCATGCTACTAGATGGGTTTCTGTAGTAAGCTGAAAATGTCCCCCAAAATTCATGCCCACTTGACCTTCACAGTATGATCATAGTTAAAATAAGGCCTTTGTAGGCAGTTAAGGATCTCCAATGTTTGATTCTCCTGGGTTTGCAGTGGTCCTAAATCTGACAACGGATGTCCCTGTCACAAGAGGAGGGGACACGCCTAGTGGCCCAGGGAGGACTGAGGAGGCAGAGAATGGTGACAGGTGACAAGCCAGGAGGGTCCAGTACTGGTTGCCACCTGAAGCCCGAAAGAGACAAGAGAGAAGTCCTCAGGGAACATGACCCTGGGGATGCCTTGATTCCAGACCTCTAGCTTCCAGCCCTGTGACACACGTGGCCACTTGCTTCTGCAGCCCTGGTACACACGCACTAGCCTCCCTGGCCAGCTCCACGCAAACACCCGAGCACAGTGCTTACAGCTGGCACCTGGGTCAGCCACATGCATCTTGCTGTCAACGGGACCTGAACCTCACCCTGGGCCAAAGGTGGGTGACCCTTCCTGCATCAAAGGCACATCCCCAGCCATCTTGCCCACACAAGTCACGTGGCCTCCAACCACTCCTGAGGGCCAGCCACAAGGTTCCCAAAGTCATCCCAGGAAAACCAATACCAGCTTTGCCCCCCAGACTCTGAGGCTTAGCCCAGAATCCCATGTTTCGGCTCTAGGAAGTGCCTGCTGTCCAGGGCTATTCTGCAGGAAAACAGGATTTGGCTCCAAGGAAATGCTCCAAAGCCTAACTTGTGTTGCTATTCTCTTCTCCAGGCGTGCGCGCACACACACACCCACACACACACACACACACCACACACACACACACACACACACACACACACACACACACACCGCTTAGTTCCAGCAGCTATGTCTGGCTGCAGGTGTTCTCCTTAGAACTGGCACCGTCTGGAGAGGGTTGAAGACTCAGGCCACAAGAGATACCCAGGAAACACCAAGGACAGCAGAGAGGCACCAGGCGGGTGGAGGGTGGGGTCCAGGGGACCCGGGGCAGCACAGGAGCCGCCACCACCATCTTACCAGGTAGCTGCCTCCATGCTTGGACTTGAGCATGTGGGCCACCTGGCGGAGGTTGCTGCGGAAGTTGTCCTCGTTGGCCGTGCTGGGGAAGGACACGGCAATGATCCTCTCCGTGACGTACACCAGGTCCAGCTCACAGCTGTCCTCCACCGTCCTGCTTCCGCTCATGTTTCTAGGGAGACAGTGAGCCAGCCAGGGTGGGGGAGGAGGTGTCAGATCAGAATCCAGCCCCAGGGCAAGCTTCAGAGGCCTGCACCCTGGCATTCGAGACATGAGCTCTCCATGTCCAGCTAAGGAGCTGGATGGATCGCTGGCCTCATGGGCAAAGCCAGAAGCTCCCCGTAAGAGGCCAGTGTGAGAGGCTGAGAGTGCCAGACTCAGCAAGCAGGTCCAGGGCCAGTGAGGGCCTGAGACCATGTCAGAGATAGGCTGGGAGGCCAGGACCTGCCCAACCAAGAGCCCAGGAGTTCAGGCCTGTCTCCAGAGGATCCAGAAGAGGAAGAAGGGCCTTGACAGGTGCTCCCAACACCCCCGCCAAGCCTTCTTCCTGCCTCCCCCTTGGTCCTGCTAGGATGGGTCAGGAGACCTCTCAGGAAAGGAGGCGGAGCTCAGGTGACTCGCCCATGTGGGCTCCAGCCAGACGGTGGTGAGTGCCCCAGCCCTCCCTCAGGCAGGCCGATGCTGCCCTTTGTCCTGGCTCTCCCCACCCCTGCCAGGGCCACTTCTTGGCTGCAGCCTCCCTGCTTTCTAAGGGCCCGGGAGTCCTGAGGGTGTTGGTGTGCTGCTGCCGGTAAGAGCAGGTCCTCAAGAGGTGGGCTCCCCGTGAGCTGAACGGCTAGATGAGGGGGCCAGGGCCTCACCTCTGTACACATCTCCTGGCTTTTCTCCCATGGGAGGGGAAGCTAGAGATGGAACCCTAGATGGACCCCAGGATCTTGGACGCGCTAGGCAAGTGTTGTCCCGCTGAGCCACACCCCAGCTCACCTCCTCTAACCAACTGGACAACCCTCCAATCCCATTCTGCCAACACTATAACTGTGTAGAACAGAGACTAGGGTAGGGGAGCTGAGAGAGAGGGGGTCCCTAGAACTGGTGAGCCCACGGCCTGTGGCAGAGGAGCCTACAAGAATCCAGACCTGCAGGTCCCGGGCCAAGGATGAGCTATGGTTTCTCTCGGGGGGGGGGGGGGGGCTGGAAGATAAAGAGATATTAAAGAGATAATTAGGAGCAGGACTCCGGGGAAGCCCGAGGGGGGGGGGGGGGGGTGGGAATGAGTGTTAGCAGGGACCACACCCATGCACAAACATCTTCAACATGGAGACACCCGGGCAGGGGTCCCGGAAACATACAGCACACTCCAGAGCCCCTCTGAGGAGAGCTCTGGGAAAGGCCAGCATTGGCAGAAAACTTATAAACCCAGTATCTGTCTTTCCTGGGGTGGGGACACAGGGGTGACAGACCGGAGTCAGCCCCCGCCTGTCCTGAGCTCAGACCTGTCCCACCCTCCGCCTGGATCCCATGGAAGATGGGAAGGCAGAGCAGCGCCACCATCTGGACAAGATCTGTATTGCATCCTGACTAGACCACCCCAGGGACCCTAAAGAGCCACCATGTCTTTGGGCAGCTGGCAGCTGAGCCAGAACCACCAGAGGCTTCTGCCACCCACCCAGGCTGGCATACTGACTCATCTCGGGAGTCTCTGGAGCTGATGATGAGGCAGAGAGGGAGGGAGACTAAGCCACAGAGCCTGGCTATAGTCCAAAAGGACTGGGCTGCAGGGCACAGGGCTGTGGAAACCCTGTTCCCATGTGGAGAACTTTCCTTTCACACATGAGGCCCCAAAGGCAGAAAGCCCATCTTCTAAGAACAGGATCTAGCACAGGCCTGGTGGCAGCTGGCCCTGGGCTCCTCCTCAGCCAGCACCATTACCTGTTTGCAAGCATGGGAGATCTCATGCAGGTAAATCAAGAACGCAGCTCATGGTCTGCCTCAGAGCTAAGACCATTCACCCCAGCCTCTCACAGAAGCTTCCTGTCCTCAGTCCTGGGGACCCCTCCCGACGAAGCATGACTAGAGACCACGCACGAGGTACCCCACTACCTGCCTCCTCTCCCCACACCCTGGTGGGCCAAGCATACCTGGTGGGCTGCGGCTGTGGCTGGAGACTTGGGGTGACTTTGGTGATGCCCTGGGTAGGAGAGAAGAGACACAGCATTATGGAGGGGAGGGGGCGTGGGAGGACAGCAGTTGGGGTGCCGAGGCGCCCCGTCCCCTGTGGGCATGCTCCCTTCGGTGCAAGCCCCTAGGCTACAGAAAGAAGAAGCTCCCAATTCCAAGAAACCCTCCCACCGGGGCTGAGGCACACCCTGTTAACTCACTGAACCCTCCTGACTCACTGGGCCATCACAATGGTCACCCACGTACAAACACGGATCACAGCCTCACAGCCTCAAACGCCACGGATGACAGCAGGGACAGCCCTCCATCCAGCTCGGAATCTGTCACCCCATGCTCCCCTCCCCTCCTCAAAAGCAGTAACATGGAGTCAGTCATTTGATCCAGTTTTGAGAGGGCAAGGTGAGGGCTGAATGTGGTCAAAGTACAGCCTAGACACATACATAAAGGTCATCCCTGAGAAGCAGAAATCTGGACAATCACAGTTCAAGACCAGCCCAGGCAAAAAGCTACAGACACACCCATCTCCACCAATAAACTAGGAATGGTGGTAACATCTATAATCCCAGCTCTGAGGAAGACACAGGAAGGGAGATGGAGAGCTGAGGCCAATTGGGGGAACAAAAGAAGCTATATCCAAAAAATAAAGGGCTAGAGGGATGGCTCAAGTGGAAGAATACCTGCTACCGCTAAAAATAATAACTACTCATAGTTTCAAGAAAGTTTTTTTTTGTTTTTTGGACATGGGGCTTGAACTCTGGACCTGGGCACTGTCCCTCAGCTCTTCAGCTCAAGGCAAGTGCTGTACCACTTAAGCCACAGCACCACTTTCAGTTTTCTGGTGGTTTATTGGCAATAAGAGTCTCACGGACTTTCTTGCCCAGCCTGGCTTTGAACTGCGATCCTCGGATCTCAGCCTCCTGAGTAGCTAGGATTACAGGCGTGAGTCACCGGCACCCAGCTCAAGAAAGTTTTGAGTCAGAAAATCTGAACACATCATAAAAACAGAATCAAGTGCTGTGGCAGTGGGTCGAGCTTCTAAAGCCCCCCATGTCTGTTAGACCAGCTCAGCAACTCCAATTTTCAAGGTTGTTGGTTGTACAAAATTCAAAAAACAATCCCCAAGCAGATGGCCCAAACACAAACTGCCCAGGGCAGTGGGGATGGGGGGGGGGGAGAGCAGGGGTCACATAGACACTTGCTCTGGGCCCCAGCATCATGCCGGGGACACAGCTCTCTGAGCCTGGAGCAGAGGAGATCACCTCTGATCTGAGGATCACAGTTCAAAGCCAGTCCTGGCCAGGAAAGTCCATGAGACTCTTATCTCCAATTAACCATCCCAAAACACCGGAAGCCAAGCTGTGGCTCAAGTGGGAGAATGCTAGCTTTGAGCTAACAAAGCTCCAAGGTCCTGAGTTCAAACCCCAGAACTGGCACCAAAAAAAGGAAGGGGGTGGAGTAAATTCCCTGGTAGTCTAGTTACAACCATGCAAGCCTCCAGACATGAAAACTGCACCGCTCACCCCAGCAGCCACCCATCCCAACATCCACCCCGTGACTCGGGTCGGACAAGCCATCCATCCCAACATCTACCTCCCCCCGCCCTTGTGACTCAGGGTCGGACACTATCACCTCCTGAAGGAGACAGAAACAAACAGTCTGCCAAGGAGAGATACTGAGGCACAGAGCGACTCACCCCCAAATCCCTAGGAAACTGAGGACCGTGCAGGATTCGCACTCAGACCTGCGCTGGACCAAGGTCCTCTGTTGGTGCTGCTGTGCGTACAAAGCAAGGGAAGGGGACTCTGAAGCCTGGCTCCTGGTGCAGCCCAAACTCAGGGCAGCTCGCTAAAGACAGTTTCTCCATTCAGCCTCCAAATGAGGCTGGAGGAAGATAAAAAAGAGTCTCCTGCCTGGGCTGCTGGGGACTCGGACAGCTGCGGTGCGCAGGAAGGAGGCTAGCAGGACTGTCGGGTGGAAAGTTCCTCAGTCTCCCAGCTCTGCTGGCCTCGAGGACTTGGGGTTGTGCATGAGTCAGGCACGGGAGGAGGGGGGGAAGGGTTGCGGTTGGTTTGCAAGCCCCAAACCAGAGCGTTCCAAAACTACCCACCCAGAGGAAAGCAGAAACCCAACACTTCATCCATCCCAAATCTGCTGGGCCCTGATGAGGCGGCCCTGACTCGCCCCAGGCCCTGGGCCTGGCTCCAGAGCCCCCAGGGTCACCCTGCTATAAATAGCCCCGTGGGCTCCATCTGCCGCTGGTCTGCAGCCACCCTTGGAGGAAGCCAGCCACAGCTGCTGAGAACAACTGGAGGCCACCACGCCGCCAACCCCTGAGGAGGGGCCAAGCGGCCTGGGGCCAGGAGAGGGAGCCAGAGGCACAGGATGGCCAGCCTGGGCCAGAGGCACCGGGAGAAAGGGAAAAGGAGGCCTGGCCTCTCCACACGCCGCCACACCCCACATTCTTCAGCCTCCCTGCCCCGCAGCCCCTCCTTCCTCCCCCCCCCCCAAAAAAAGCCAGGGAAGATAAATAAAAACTTGGCCCAAAGGGAGTCTGGCCACGGCGGCCTCCAGAGGTGATAAGAGAGGCGGCAGCTGGCTCTGAGCCATCAGGACAGAAAGGCAAAGGAAGAAGCTGCCTGGGACAGTGACCCCGCCCCAAAGGAGGGGGCTGGACGGATGGACGGACAGCTGGACAGACTGTCAACCTCTGCTGAATCACCGAGCTGCGCTCCACTGCCGGGGCTTCCTGTTTTCTGAGCATGGGGGACACGTGACTAGCAATGAGCAGACGTGTGCGGGGACACAGCTGAGCGTCCCCGGAGAGCTCGGGGACCCCCACATCCTGCTGGCTGTCTCCTGCAGAGGCTCTTTACCAAAGAGGGTAAGTCAAGGCCTCTGGACTGGGGCCCTGACCACCCATCATGGTACACACACCCCCCACACCCACCGAGGGGGACAGCGACCACTGTGTGGGCCAGGCCAGGCGGCCAGGGGGCCTCCAGCCCCCAACCTCACAGGGCTAGCACTCAATAGTCAGGACAGAGCCAGGTCATTTGCCCGTCTGTAAAATGGGTACAGCACAGGACTTGTCAGATCCCCTTACTCACCCATCCCACTCCAAGGGACAACTCTATTTTTAGAAGAAAAAAAAAATAAGCTCTCTACCTATCTACGGCCCTATTCTTTTCCTCTCAGAAATTTCAAAGCCCTTAACCTATTTTAGAACTTCCTCCTAGCTCCTCCCAAGACAGACCAATAAGAGAACTTTTGATTCAACTCCCTAGGCCCCAAAGAGAACTCTCTCTTATCCTCTTCTCCAGAACACATCTCTCCTTTGCAGAAAGGGCACCATGAAAGGAGATCCCACAGACTCTCTGCCAAGACACAGTGTCACTTTTCCGTCAGGAAGTTCCTCCTGGTATCTAACCATCATCCTTCCTGCTGCAGACTCAGTCGACTCTGCCTTGGTCCCAGCTGATCATCACTCTGACATGCCTGGGTGGCTCTAGCTCTCTACTCCAGGCTTCATTACTTACTGTGTCTTTCCCCACCCGTGGTCAGGAACCTCAGACCCTGGGGCAAGGCGGGGGGGTGGGGGCTGGATATAGCAACACTGGTGTGGGAAGAGAATCGGCTTCCTTTGAGATCCACAGAGAAGAAGAAGAAGGAAAAAAAATACCTCTGAACAACAACAACAAAAGCTGTTTCCTGAGCCCCAGTCCCTGTGGGTGGGTGGGGAGGAGGGTCTAGGAGTGGACAGCAGGGTCAGGTCAGGCCTACCCCTCCTCATTCCTGGGTCTCCTGGAGGGGGGCCTGTGGCTCCCCCACCCCCACCCCTGTACCCAGCCACACCCCTTCCTCTCCCTTTCCTGCCCACCAGCCTGGATTTTTCCAAAACAAAGTGCGACATAGCACAGGATCCAGAGTCCCGGCCACGCCGACCCTGTCAAGGAAAACAGCTCTTCCTGCGCTGTGAGTTCTGGGCCAGGGCCAGAGGCAGGGAAACAGCCCCTCAGAAGCACAGCAGGGCAGCCGACTGCTGGCTGGCACACAGGCTCCCCCTTCCCCCGGGCCTCACGGGAGGGTCCTCCCCCGCCCCGCCTCCCTCCCCCCTCCCCGACTGCCCCCGTGGACCCACAGACCTGGGGCAGGAATGTAGGGGCCTTCCTCACTGCTCTAGAACCTGCTCCCGGGTCAGACTAACGGGCCTTACTTTGTGCTTTCTCCTAGACCCAGACAGACCCCACTCCAGCCGCCCTGACAGACACTCACATCCATTCCTGATGAATTAATTCAACAAACAAACCAACAAGCAAGCAAGCAAAAACCTTCAACACAACTGAATGGCCACCTCTTTCTTCCAAAGTCCTATATGCCTTCTCAGTGTACAGTTCCTCCTGCTGTCTGACCTCAGTCTCCCTTGACGTAGCTCTAGTTTATTGGCCCAAGCTGGGGAGGTAGGGAGAAGCGAGGAGCTCTAGGATGAGGCTTTTCAAGGGTTTGAAGTGTCCCCGAAAAACATCTGATGCAGACAATGAGCCTAGGAGGGGATGGTGGCGCATTCCTACTGTCGCTGAAGCTTCTGTCTCCTCAACTGTCACACGGATCGCAGCCTGGGACACAGCCCACGTCCTGAGTATAGAGGGCACCCAGCCCCGAGCCTTGAATCAAAATAACGTGGAATACGAATGGAAGCACCCACGCAGGCTCCACACTTCAGGGACACAACAAATTCATCTTCCCTCACCCCAACTCAGAAACCACCGGAACCTGGACGCCTCCCGGTACACGAGCCCCCACCACGGGATCCTTCTCATACCTTGACCCCTGCCGCCTCTGGGGTCTGGGTCACCTCTGCTCCTCGGGGGCCAGGAGGGGTGGGGGTGGGGGCCCCGCGAAGCCCTCCCCACGGCGGGTAGCAGTGGGTGCCCTCAGGGCCGCTGCCGACTCCCCACCACCGCCCCGCCCCCCAGAGCCCTCCCCGCGGCGGGTCAGGCAGCTGTCAGATGATACGGCCGGCCTCATGCCACTAACAGCTCCCCTGTGCCAACCGCCAAAACCACTCCCTACCCCTCTGCCGAGTGGGCCGGCTGGGGGTGGGGGCGTCACCCCGGAGCAGAGGGTGCAGGGAAGGGAGGCCCTGCTAGAGAGACCGGTCACAAATGGGGCTCCTTCAGGGCTCTGGGAGAGAGTCGCCCCATCCTGAACTCCTTCCATTTCAGGAACTTGCCCTTAAGCCCCCCCACCCCATGTTCTAGGGGTAGACAGCTAGTTCCTCACCCAGCAGACTCCTCCAGGTGGCATCTGAACCCCATGATGCACCTCACCCTTTCCAAAGATCCCTGCTTCCCAGGAGACGGCGCTGGCCATGTCCCCAGGGCCCCCAGGTGACCCCCTCCCCCAAGAGCGCAGGGCCCTGCTCCTTGACCACTGTTGCTGGTACTGAGGTGTGCCTTCCTGAGCCTGCCCGGCCGATGCCCAGCGGTGCCCAGTGCCCCCTCCCCAGCTCCCCGCTCAGAGCTGCCAGGGACACCAACTCCAGACCCAGCCCAGACACGGGCCAAGGCCATGGCAGAGGTCCAGCCGTGAGCCCACAGCCTCGCCCTCCTCCCGGCCCTCTGGGCTGCTCCCCTTCCAGACAGGGGTGCACACAGGACCGCCAGGCCGTCCACTTCCCACCTAGCCCCTCCCTCTCTTTTCATTCCTCCATCATTCCTCCATTCCCCGCCTCTCCTCGCACTTACGTCTTCCTCCAGGCTCTTCCGAGAGCTTCCACTCCGGGGGGCTACTTCTCCCTGCAGACAGCAGAGGCCAGTCAGAGAGAGGACAAGGTCAAAAGACAAGGTCAGAGGTCACGGGTATCGTGTCTGCCGCCTGCTGGGTACCAGAGGTGGAAGGAAGGGGTGAGGGTAGGTTGGGCAGAGGGGTTTGGGAAGGAACTTGTGTTATCTGAGCATTTCTTCCTCCACTAAAGGCTCATCAGAGCCAGCCCGGCCCCTCACAGCACTGCTAATCCCATTAGGCAGATTAGGAAACTGAGGCACAGACAGGTTCAAGCTTCATGTATGGTTACCCTATTAGAATCCAGATTTGGTGTGTCAGTGGCTAGCCTCAGTTTCCCCATCCACATCCCTACCTTCTTCTGCCACCTAGCTCTAAGGAAGACTAGCTTAGGCAGAAAGGCCCATGTGGAAAAATCTGCCCAGCTTTCTCTCACTCTGTGTATTTAATAAAGAAGTTCAAGTCTCATGCCCCGCCCCCCCAGCACCTCTTCTCTCAGCCTGTCTGGCTCCCAGCATCCCAGGTCTGGACACACAGGGCCAGCCAGACCCAAATCACCAGCACCCTGCTACCCGCTGCTGCCCTCCCTAAACCCCGGAGCGATGGCCCCACGTACCTGGTTCACTCTTCCCCCAAGACGCCCTCGGCTCCCGGCCTCCTCGCACCTGTCCAGGCTGTCCCCAGCCCCGGGGACATCACTCACCGTGTCCCCCACATTCTTCGGGGCACTCTCCATGGTGATGGGCTGTGAACAGAGGCAGAAGGCATGGTAAGCCTTGGGGACCATGTCCCTGGCCTGGTAGCCAGGAGGGTGACACCAACGGAGACTGAGACATCCCTGCTGGCCCTGAGCAGAGTTTGTAGAGCGAAACATGATCCTTCCAGTACTTGAGCCACTCAGTTCCACAAACCATCTCCACTACCGCCCAGGACCACACTAGGGGCCCGGTGTAGCCTCTGACCCACAGGTACCAACCACTCCAAATGGAGCAAGGAATAAAGGCCGGGTGCTAGTGGCTCACGCCTGTAATCCTAGCTACTCAGGAGGCTGAGATCTGAGGATCACAGTTCGAAGCCAGCCTGGGCAGGAAAGCATGTGAGACTCCCATCTCCAATTAATCATCAAAAATCTGCAAGTAGCTGGTGCCAGTATCTGATGCCTGTAATCCTAACTACTTAGGAGGCTGAGGATCACAATTCAAAGCCAGCCTGGGCAGAAAAGTCCTTGAGACTCTTCTCTCCAATTAGCCACTCAAAAAAACAAAAGTGGCACTGTGGCTCAAGTGGTAGAGTGCTAGCCTTGAACACAAAGAGGCTCAGGGACAGCACCCAGGCCCTTAGTCCAAGCCCCACAACCAACAACAACAAGGAAGAGCTCAGGAGCAGTGCCCAGGCCCTGAGTTCAAGCTCCATGACCACCAAAAGAAAAAAAGCCACAAGTAGAGCTGTGACTCCAGTGGTAGAGCACTAGGCTTAAAAAACAAAACAAAACAAGGTCAGGCAAAGCACACAGGACCTAGGACTGGCACACACCAAAAAGGGTATACTGTCTCTGCTTCCCACAAGCCAGGCTACACCCCCCCCTCACCCCACCTACCTGAATGGAGCCCCACCCCACCCGTAGACCTCCCAGACCTCACCTCCTCGCACAGAGCTCTGCTCCCCAGACCCCAAACCCCTTGTCAGTCCCACACCCAGCATGCCTGGAAGACCAGCTTCCTTTTCTTCCCCCCATGTAGAGGGTCTCCTCCCTCAGGAAGTCCTCCCTGACCACTCTGCAAGTGAGATCTGAGCTCTCATCCACCTGGTTGCTATACTCTTTGTGTGCCAATAACCTAATTGTATGAATCCATGCCCGCTTCCCTCAAAAGCTGCTTTATTTAGGGTTCTTATTCTACCTTCCTCCAAAAAAGATCCCAAAGCAACATTTGTTTTTTTTTTTTTTTTTACTAACACACTTAACTTTCAAACTACCTCATGTCAAGGACCTTGATGGCTGGGCGGTGGGCCCAGAAGTAAGCACCTGTCTGCTAAAGCTGCCCTTCCTCAGCCCAGGCCTGCAAAAAAGGCTTCCTACTAAAAGCATCCTGAATTGCCTCCGCAGGTCCCTCAGGAGGAAGAGAAGCGTCCAGTTCCAGGCCATCTCCTAATGATAGTCTAGGGCTCCATCTCCAAGTCATTAAAGAGAGACCCTTGACTCAGGCAGACTGGCACATGGAAGACTACAAAGACCTAAGCAAAGCCCAGTGTGGTGGCTCACACCTGTAATACCAGCTCCCTGGGAAGCAGAGACCAGGAGCACTACAATTCAAGGCCAGCCTGGACAAAGTTAACCACATTCCATCTCAACCAATGAGCTGGTGTGGTGGTGCATGCCTGTCATCCTAGCTAAGGAGGAAGATGGAGGTCTGATGCTGACCTGGACAAAAAGCAAGGGACCCTCCCGGAAAAATAAAGCAAAGGGCTAGCTGACTCAAGTGACAAAACCTCGACCTAGAAAGCACGAGGCACCCCAGTACTGCCGGGCACCGGTGGCTCACACCTGTAATCCTAGCTACTTGAGAGGCTGAGATGTGAGGATCACACAGTTTGAAGCCAACAGAGTCAGGAACGCCCATGAGACTCTTATCTCCAATTAACTCCCAAAAAGCTAAAAGTGGAGGTATGCCATCATAGGACTTTCACATGCAGCCCCAACATGCCACTTCCTCTGGGAAACAGCAGAGCATGAGCTGGGGGTCACACATGAGACCCCCCCTCCCGGCAGAGCTGGGTCCCACACAGACAGCTTCTAACCCAGTGATACCCCTGCAGGTCCGGGGCCTGTGCGTCTCCTGTGACAGGTCCTGAGGGGCTGCCCAACACACTGCCCTGTCCTCCTGGGGGGCCCTCTGCCAGCAGGATGCTCAGGAGCACCGCAAGGGGGCTTGGGTGCGTGGGGGTGCAGACCCAAAGAAGGACAGAAGGGCTTTAGAACATCATGCCCAGCCCAGAAAGCTCTCTGTACACGTAGGTTCTCTGTTATTTACTATCTTACCCTCAGGGGTGCCCCACGGGCCCCAAGGCCCACCCTGCCCCACCTTGACCCTGGCCCACCCCTCCTAGGTCTGGTATAGGCAGACAAGGGAGCAGGCCCGCTCTCTTCCTGCCTGCAGTCATCTGAGCAACGCCACCCCCTCCCCCCACCACCACAGCTGGAGGGCAGCCATGGGTCCACCCTTGCCAACAGTCAGATGCCTTCAACGTACTGGTCCCCCCCCTCCTCTCTGAGCAGCTAAAAATGGCCAATCTCCCCCCCAATCCCCACCCCAGTGTTTGCAAACCCAGCCCAGCAGGCATCGCCCCACCCCCACCCACCCAAGTCTCCCGGGAATGAAGTTCCCATTGTGTTTCCCAACACAGCCCCCAGAGGCTGCTGGGAAGGAAAAGGGCAAGGGCCTGGTCCAGGAGGACCAAGTCTCAGCTAAGGCTGCCCAGGCCCAAGTCCCTGGCCACCCCGAGCTGTGGTCTCATGAGCAGTGGCCCCAGACCTCTGAGGGCTGGTAGAGACGCACGGACCTCCACTTCGGCTATCCCAACCTTCAGCCAAAAGTTCCTAGGGAGACACACACACACACACACATATACACACACACACACATGCACGAACGCACGTACGCACATACGCACACAGAACCCACTCGGCATCAGCTCTGAGAAGGACTTGGGATATCATCTTCGCCCTTTCCACGCTTCATTGATGGGAAACTGAGGTACAGAAAGAGAGGAGCTAGTCAGGCACTGGTGGCTCACGCCTGTAATCCTTGCTACACAGGAGGCTGAGCTCTCAGGATCACATTCCAAAGCCAGAACGGGCAGAAAAGATGGCAAATATCTTATCTCCAATTCACCAGCAAAAAAACAGAAGTGGAGCTGTGACTCAAGTGGTGCTGTGACTCAAGTGGTGGATCACCAGCCTTGAGCAGGAAAGCCAAACGAGAGCATGAGGTCCTGAGTTCAAGCCCCAGTGCGGGCACAAGCATGCACACGCACATAAAGGGAGGGACGTCTACCCAGTGTCCGTGGTAGGATGCATGGCAGGACCAGAGCTGGTCCCCGGCTTGCAACGCCCACTGCCAAGCAGGCTCCCCACCCTAGTCCCAGACTCCAGGAAGGATCAGCAGGCACCCCAAGGCCAGCTGCACATGACCGAAGCAGACTGAATCTACGCAGGGACAGTACAGCGCCGTCCCTCTGGCCCCACCCCTGCTACCCATTTCCAGAACCAAACCCGCAGCTGGGGGACCAAGTGAAAACCGCGGGCTGGAAGCCAACTGGAGCCTTCCAGAGCCCCCTGCCTCCCCACAGACCAACTCAGAGTCCCACGTGGGAGCCACGGCCAGGTTTGGACCTGGGGCTGCAAAGAAGCCAAGCCCTGCCCTTCTTGGATGGCTCTGCCCTAGGGTCTCAAACCCACCGTTGGCAGCAAGGTAGGCCTGGAGCAGGGACTTTTGCCCAAGGGCAAAACACAAGCAGCCACCTCTTGAGCCCCGCAAGCCACACCTCACACTGGGTCCCCCTAGCTGCCTCTCCTAGTTACGGCCCTGGTCTGGAGATGCTAGTTCCTAAAATTAAAACAAGAACAATGACTACTCGTCACGTGCAAAGGCTCTGCTGGCCGGCCACATCCTCATCAGTCGAGGAAGCCCGGGATCCCAGAGGCTGGATGACATGCCCAAGGTCTGAACCACCCACACGCCCTCTCTCCTCTCCCTGGTGACCACCAACCATCTTAACCGACGGCCTTCCTGATGGAAACCTGTTGTCTGAACCTTCAGGCACAGCCAACCCTAGGGCTCATGGCTCAGGAAGAGACTTGCCCACTCCATTTCCATAGGAAGACTAGGAAACGGGTTACAGCAGGAGAGACTGAGATCAGACATCAGAGAGAACTTCCTGAATTTGAAGGGTTGTGAGCCATCGGGTAGATAAGGGCAGCTGCACATCCCTTCTCCAACATCCCCCCCACCCCAAAAAGGCATGCAGGCCCTCTTCTCCACAGCCAGGTGAGCCCTCCACATGTACGGAGGAAGGCTGGGGGGGACAACAGTGCAAGGGTTCGCGCAGTAGGACTCTTGGTGGCCTGCAGGGAGGGGCGGACAGGCTGGGGGGAGACGTGTCTGTGGGCTGCTGTTGTAGAGGAAGGAAAAGGCTAGGGGTGGGGGTGGGGGTGAGGACTGAGCCCAGGACTTGGGGGGGGGTAGAGGGGGGGCAGAATGCAGACTCAGCCTCCAGAGGAACATTCCGTCCAGAATTCCTCTGCCCTGCAGACTCCCCCTTACTCCTCCCCCCACCTCACAGGCCTGCAATCCACGCAGGTTTGGAAGCCAAAAAGACCCCGTGGCCTCCTCTGGCCAGGGGAATGAGCTGGGAGGTCACTGGCAGCCCTGCGGGAGGGGAAGGCGCTGGGGCAGTCCGGCGGGGAGGGGGTGGTCAGGCCTCGAACCAAGCCCCAAAATAGAACCATCAGCAGATGGCCAAGGCAAGGGGGCTGAGAGCACATTTTGGGGTGCTTCAGCGGCGGTGGGGAGGGGTGGGCTCCCTCTTGGCGCCGGTGCCTCCTGAGAAGCAGCATCGTGACCCTCTTCTGGAACCTTCCCAAAGGGGGGTGGGTTCCACAGGAGCCCAGGCCTGCCCTCAAGACCTTGCCCTGGCCTCACTCCACCCTGAAGTATGGGGGACCCACCAGGGTGGGCACAGGAGACA